GGTCTTTAGCAGTGGGAGTAAACCGGGCGACCCGGAAAAAACCCACGAGGTTGGACAGGCGACCCTACTCCTTGTCACGTACAACTGGGGAATCGAAACAACGCCAGTTGACTCAATGACAGACCTTATGATACAGCGCGCACATACTAACCATTTGGCCATCCACCCCCACCCCCTTTTGAGAAGGATGTGAAGCAAAATTTTGATAGATTAATTAGTTTGAAAAGATTTTAGTCCAAATATATCATCAAATCACCCAGTTTGTGCGCGGAATGGTATCTTTAAGTATGTTTGAAGTGTAATGTGTGTATTTTTGCGGTACTGTGCGGGAAGGAGTGTCGCCAAAAAACTATAGCTACGGAATTCATCAGGCGAAGATTACCCATTCCTAAATCTTAATAGGAAATAACCTCTCTTAATTACTAAGCTAACCTTCCCGCTTGCATAATGTCTAACATAAATACAAATACCACGGAAATTACCGGAATATATCGAAGAATGTCGATGGATAGCCGCAAACGAAAATTATGTAGCCAAGCAAAATGTTAGAGTCTAATCGCGGTATGAATCAACAAATTTGTTCAGATATGGCCACCTTTATATCCTTCACTTATATTTGATATCTTTTAATCTCAAACATTAGCATGGATGAAACCTTTTATGAGAGTAAGGACATTCTAAAATATCATAACAATAACTCTTACGTGAAATGAATATAGAAACAGAAATACATGTACATGTACTACTATACATCGGTTACAAATTTGACTACAAAATCTTGCCTAGATTCTGTCCGTAATGCATGACACATTACTCCAGATGATTGTATACTAACGGCTGTGTCAGTGAACCAGATGTCCCTATTCAGTGACTTCGATATGTTTTTGAGAGTTTGAAAACATTAAGTGGGGATTATTTTTTAGTCAGGTGGCTTAATGTGTGTGGGTATCGGAATATTACACTTCGAAGGAATAACAACATTGGTGAAAGCTTTTCATAAATGTTATTTTGAATATGAATTCTAAGACGAAGACATCATAACCATTTAAACTAATCAAGGGTATTTGGCTCTAATTTAAAGGCGATTTCCTTTCGTTTTATACAATTTCAGTGCAGACTTCAAAACCCTTTATTTTTTTTTATTTTTTTTTTTGTTTAGAAAAATGTATAACGTTTATCAAAGAAAAAACAATGCACAGTGGAATAAATGCACACGAAATATAATAAAACGTTTAGGCCTAATAAACATCAAAAGCCCGCATATAGACATTATTTTAACTGTAAAGGGTGACTTTGAACCAAAGTACTATAAATTTACATAAATGGCCACAAGCATCGTTATATGCGAGTCGATAAAAAATGAAACATAATTTTCATTGTTCACTTGATTTCAAATAAAATACTCAGTAAATATATAGCTTATAAAATTATGTTAGATAGCTTGTCTCTTCGTTTCGTTATTTTTCGCCTTTCTTTTTATATTATTTCGTTCCGTGGTTGTTTCGAGTTGGACAGTTTAATTTTATAAGTAAATTACGTGAATCTGCAGTTTTCAAAGTATATTTTTGAATTATTGATAAAATTCAATGTAGGATTCATTGTAGAAATGTGGTTGAGTTGAAATTGTTTTAAAGGAGCTAAATATAAATTCTTTGGCACCTATAGAAATGGCCACAAATGGGTCGCAACAAATATAATACTGTAATATGAATGTACATAAACTGATTTAGATTCAACCGTTTCTGTTTTACTGTAATTTATAATCAGTTATGTTCTGCGAAATACATAAGCAATCTTATGCATATAGTATGTTTGTTATTTTGATTTTGCCGAATTCCTCCATTTTAATGTATTTGTTGTCTCCTGGTCAGGATCATTTATGCCTATTTTTATATAAGATTTTAAACGGTAATGTATTAACATATGAATGATATAAATTTAAACTCACTTTTTCTGAAATAAATAAGAGAATAATATTCATCGAAAAAAATGAAAAGTTTAAGTACAAAAATGTTTAAGAATCTAAAACTATGTCTTATTGTAAAGATAATATATAATATTGTAAGTTATGAATTAATAGCACAAAAACTTTTATAATCTATGTTAATAAACTGTTAATATTTAAAATATATTTGATAAATTATAAATTAACGAATGTATTAACATATAAAGAAGAACCATTGAGTGACTATCATGTTTAAATTTTGGCATATCATTTCATATGTAACCCCGGAAATGAGTTTAGTTTAGCCCATAGAATGTATACAAGGGAACTTTTGCATGAAACAATTATTCACAACTTTTGTAAACTATGTTTTTTTATTTTTTGGCATATCTTCTATATAAAATGTATTTGGTGCACTTCAAATATACAGAAAAAAATATAGAATAAAACATGCAATTTTATTGATTTATATAATGACTTTAGTTGCACCATAACATTTATTGTATCAATCAATAACAAACACACAGATAATAATATACGTGTTATTTACCGGCAATTGTAAAACATTTTTGCAAATTGTATCGATTTACATGTTATCAAAATGTATTCATGCTTCACATGCATGTTACCGATCTTAACTCACAATAAACATGAATACAGAATAAATATAATACTGTCCAAATCGTAATATATTAAAATTATATATCAGATTTTCCAAACAAAAAAGTTCCATGGTTTGGGACTTGGTCCAAATATCAAACTTTTTCTAGGAAAGTCAGTCAGCTTTTTTTTTTTTTTAGATAAATAGGTTTCCTTTCCGCGCTTTTATGTGTTACTAATTCAAAAGAGACTTAAATGGGGGGGATAGGTACGAGAAATGTCTTTCAGGACTGTAATTCGTCTACTTTTTTTCTTTTTTTTTTAAAAAAAAGGAGAAAAGATACACCGTATAGGCGGGGACAAATTTCATGTGAATTTGTACACAGTACTAATCTTTTAAAATTCTCTTTGGATTTATTATAATAACTTTTTCGTGTATGTGCGAATAAGCTGTTACATTTAATGCTATATTAACCGTAACATTGTTCATTTTGTAGTCCATGTGTTGAATTATTGCCTACAAAATGTCAATCAGATATTGATTTAAATCTGTTTGTCTGACTGAATGTGTACATCCATTCTGAATAAAGTACCATAGATAATCTACTAGCATACATTTTAAATATTAAAAATTAAATATAATAACCCTTCGAAAAAGGAATCATACTACGTAACATTTTCATTAGTGGTTCATTCAAAGCTAAAGGGTCACAATTATTTAATTCTATAGTAACATGTCATTCAATAATTAAGTTAATCATCTTCTCAATCAAAACAAAAATATAATTCAATGAATTAAGAAACAAGTATATAATCCAAGATTTTATTTTATAAACAATTCAACCATTCAAAACTACAACACAATCATTTATGTTGCATAACAAATTAATTAAAATTATTATTCAAACAAAATGAGAAATTTGAGCAAATTGTCTAACATTAAAGTTTGAATATATTGCTATTATTTATCATGTTTTAACACACCTAACTAATTATACAGAATTTTGATTCACAACAAATCTATAACAGCTCACTTTAGTTACATCGCTCTGGTTTAAATAACGGGTCTTTTATAGGTAACATTGATTATATTATATTATATTTTATTCAGTTTTTGTTGGGGGGGGGGGGGGTAAAAAAACCAAACATATTAATATGTAGCCTAAATGAAAACTGTACCATAGAGTATATATCTGCATCTGGTGCCTCTTTTAAACGTTGGGCCAATATTTCTATAATAATGATCATATAATTGTCAAGATGAATAGCTCTCTAATGTGAACATCAAGCGTATAGAAACGTATAGGAAAACCTATAATGAATAATATTATTAACAATGAATATGGTTATTGGTGGGTAAAGTAGCTTTATTGAATGACTAAAAAGACAAAATAAGAACATGTCTGCTATTAATTTATTAAACTATATATTTATCATTTGATTGGTCTGAATGGAGACTTTCGTCATTAACATATAGAATAGTATATCTAAAGGGATAAAAGAATAAATAATTAAAATGTCCCGGGATGATTTCAGACAACTTTTTTTTCAAAATCTGTATTACTTGTCATGGATAGATCTATTGCCATTATGACAAAAAGGGAAACGGTGTAATATTATTCACAATGTCGTCCCGGCTAAGCTTGGATTATTAATAAAACACTGCTAGTGAAACGTTCCAGACAGCAGATTCCGGCTTGGAACTAACTTCCAAACTAATATAACTCTATTATGAAAGCTGCATTTTAGATTCTCCAGTTAAACGCGTACGACCATACTAGTAGAACCTGGGCAAATTCATAAAAAAGCACCTTTAAGAATGATTCCTCCATACCTTATAAATGGGAATTCGGGTATCTTCGTTTTCGTACATATAATATTGCTCCAGGTAAATTTTACACTGGAATGAACATTAGTTTTTTACAAAGTATTTTTGTATAGGTCTTGCCTAACATCAAAACGGCATAAAATATTCATGTCTTTATAAACTTGCATATTATAGAGTCACTCTGCTTTTAGCGGTACATTAAAACCACGTTTATCAGTGCATCAATCGTTTAGCAATGATAACCGTAGGCCTATTGGCGTTTCTATGTCATCATCTAAATATTATTCATACATTTTATACATTTTTTAAAAATATAAGCGTTCAAAAAATGCTATCTTGTCGCCATATGAATTTTATAGATACGCGTCTTTAGTATAGATTACAGACCAATTCGCATAGTTTTGCTGTCATGTCAAATAATGTGTGCTAAGCTGCTATAACAACTGAAAGTCAATATAGCATAACATAAGACTTGTTTAATGCTTAATGCTGTGGGCCTTTTATATAAATTCAATATTTCGTATATAAATGCACTTATATACCTATATATAATATATGGTAGACAATGCACACATTGCTTTTTATGTTATACATTGGCGGTTGTTGTTATTAATAATAAACACTTACCTCTTATATTGGTTAATATCGTTTGTTGGTCATATATGCAAATTAGCTAAATAATCCCACTATGTGAGGTATCCCGGCGTGACCGTCATACCACGGGTTGAAAGTGTCGTCTGCCACATTATCTATACAACTCCCTCTTTTGATCGACATTCAATGCACCCGCCACGTATCAATCCGCCGTGCGAGCTCTTTGTAAATAGTCCCGCAGTGATCGACCGCTTCACAATCCGAGCTGTCATTCATAAACTGCTCCCGTGCGTAAAGCCTGTTTCAAATTCAAAGAGTTGCTTTTCAAATAAAGCTTAACTAAAACTACTATGGATTTTGTTTAAGAATAAAAGACATTGTCCCGAAATTCAAATGATGTTATTCTTTTATTTTTTTCTGAGTCTTTTACATCAGTTTTAGAGTGAAACAAGATAAACCCCTTTCTCGTTGATGTTTAATGGTTTTATGGGGTATCCACCGTAACATTGACGAGGCGTGGGGACTCGCATTAGGTAGCTATCGCCAATGCTGTTTATAAAAATATTATAGTTTCTCATAAATAAAACGGCATCTCAAGCAGAACTTCAAAGAAACGGTATTTAGTCGGTTTTTCGTTTCCATCCGATAGAGTGGTATTTGAAGCTAATATTATTTAATTGTGTTTGTTTCTAGGAAACGAATATCCCGGTGCTCATTTATTATCGAAATGGTATCAATAACGAGAAAGAAGAAAGTCGGAACTTTGTATAAAAAGTGCTATTGCTACCACGCCCATATATAGCACTAGGCTAGCTACAGACAATACTTATCTTATAATCTACTCGTTTGATCGATTTTTATCTTTTCTGGACTGGAGGGGCAAAAAGTACATCTTCGGTCATGAAATTTATCAAAATGATTGACACTCGCACAAGTTACCCAAATGACTTGACCTATCGTTTCACTCTAGAGAACAGAAACTACTTTCGTAAGTAATATATATTTTAATGTCGTCAAATGTAATTTTCTTATAGAAATAAATAAATAATCGAGATCACACGAAACTCGCATATGACAACGTGTTATGAAAAATAATTTCACCCCTACCCGCAACATCACCAGAACCGTCAGAATATTTATACTATAGGTTCAATGATACTATCAATCTGTCTGCAACCTGTCTGCCATTTCCATGATAGTTTAAAAGCATTATTCTTCTAGTTTCAAAATCTAGAAAATGATATCATTTGGTCTTACTGGAAATACGCGCAGTATAATCTCAACCCTGTCTTTTACGCAACCATTTTAGATTCTGATATTTTCCTGGCAATTTGCAACTCCAGTTCAGTTAATCTTGTACATCACCAGTAAGCAGTAATGATTATGGAAGACGCCACGTAATTAACATAGTTATTCAGGCAACAAGACACAACACAACTCTCTAAAATGTCTTAAATGCCCCGACGACCTCAAGATTCTTTTCTATGATTAAAGGGGCTATCTATAAATATCCAGAACATTGTCCTATGGGGCGATTTTATGAAATCGTCATTTCCTTTCAACAAGCATTTTAAAAAAAATCGTAAAATTAGGTTGTTATATGAAATGATTCCGATGAATGATAGGATAAGTTTCATTCGATTAAATTGTCTTTTTGGCAGATCATAGGACCTTTTACTTACTTTAGTTTCTGTTTGTTGGTTTTGTGTGTGTGTGGGGGGGGGGGGTAAAGTCTCTATACGCCATTTCCATTTCGGAAAGCTGAACATGCACAGTTATATTGTTTGCAAGTAATTCCTACATCCCTCAAGTGACGTTAAATGACTTTAAATTGTTGAAAAGCGAATTAGTTTACTCGAAATCGTAAGTCAATGGGGTAACTTTAGGATTAATTACAGTGAACTGTTACAAAATCTATTCAGTACGGTGAACAACCTGTTAATGTTCCTAAATAATCTGATGATAAGTGAGACTAATTGAAACAATGCTTCCTAACTCGAGGAGAGTATCACAGATCAATAGCCGTCTTCCTACTATTAATAACCTGAACAAAAAATTCAAATCAAACCTAACACTGAATTACAACCGAAAAATTGGTGAGAGGTGATACTGGAAGTAAGTGTCGGAAATTCATCAAAATCGTTAAACGTTTATTTTTCCATAAAATGAAGAAACAGTCAGAATGACAAACTGGTCCGATATTCAAAGGATGCTAACAAACTGTGTGGACAATATTCGATCAAATTCGAATTTTGGCGTATGAAAAGCAACAACTCGGACTAATTTACGTCCTCAGTTGGATCTAATCAACTATATAATTATATAATTTCGAGAATTAAAACATCATATCATCAACATCTGACGAGCTAAGAACAAATCCAAATGGCCACCTTCTCAAAACAATCCATCTGGAGGTCCCGTTCTTCGGGATTTCCCGGCGCGGTTCCCCTTAACAATGGTGCAGGAAGGAGGGCTTGGCAAGGGAAAACGAACAGTCCTTCGGGTGGGACGAAGAACCGAGGTTCCCTGTAAAACAAACCGTGGCAATTGGAATATACGATTAGGCCATAGCCTCATAGCACACTGCATGGCGTATGAATTAGTCTAGTTATTAATGTGGGACGTTAAACCCCATTGCATTTTTAAAGTAGCGATATGACTTGATACACCAAAAAGGTCGGGCTAGACGTTAGGATATGGATTTTTTTTTTTTTTTGAAATGGTATTTATTGTAACGTTATAAATTTTGTTTTAAATAGGACCTCTAAATCGAGAAAATGAAGTAAACAAATTATATTGTCGATATGGACATTTGAAAATATTCCCGTTAATGATTTAATAACCACATGTACGTACCCCAACGTCTATTTCAGTGACCAGTTTTAGCAAAAAACAATTTAGCTGCCAAGGAATTTGTTTTAAAAATGCAACTCTGTTCGTCTGCATGTCATTTTTTCGTTTCAGTCAATGTGATTCCTATATGAATGTTTCGGGATTTTTTTTAAATATAAACACAAAATTATATCATTATAAAATTAATAAAACCAGGACTAAAATATCAACAAAAAATATTATTTCGTCATTTTTACTATCATACAGCAATTATTTGAAAAATAAAATATCACATTTTTTGGTTGAAAAAACACTAAATGAAGCGTTCAGTTTAGCACATTAAACAATTGTAGTGGGAAAAAAATCACTCGAGCGAGATCACCTGCCGGCATTACGTCATGGCACGTGCTCATTTACCGTTAACCGGTCGTTTGAAGTCTGTAACGCCGTTCCGACTGCTGAAGAAAGAGAAATTAGAGAGGTGAACCCACGGATGTTGATGCCAACAACCGGATATAGTAGTTTAAAAAGCGTCCTTAAATCTAAGCGATATGTTGTGTATCTTTGACCGTTGATTGCCTTAATCTGGATGATTAGGTTAATACAGCGGCCATTTTATGTTAGCGCTATTAGCACCTTGTGAGGCAGAAGACCATCATGAAGTGGTAGCAGTAGCAGCAATTATCATGCTCTAGTTAATTAGATGCCCGTAACTTGACTTAAAGAACAATAGCGATGAAGTAATAAAGCCCTAGTCGATAATCGAACACCTTTTGGATACGACAGAAAAGCTATCATTAATCTGTGCGTGGTCGGGGTTTCGTGTGGCGTGTACAGGAGTGCTTCCGGTTGACAGGGACTATTCATTAAAATGATTTTTGTTTAACATCCCTAGTATTTTATTACCTGCAATGCACTATTTACTTCTTTCTTGCAATATTGACGTATTAAATATCAATTAGACTCAACTAACGCATATATTTGATTGTTCATTAAACGAATGAAATGGGATTTAACGTCTTACTATTCTGATCAAGCTGGGCTAATGAACAGGGTTTCCTTTAGTAGTATGTTGATAGTCATTAAATTCCAACCATGGTTCAAAAACAGACAATGAAAATTGAAAAGGTTGAATATTGCAGTCAAATTACTTTATTCTGGGAGTTTGAAGTTTTTACTTAAATAGTCTCGATTGTCAAATACTGTTCCTACGATATTAAATAAAGTCTCTACTATCCACTTTAACGCCAATTATTAAATGGCGTGGCCAGGGGCGTATTCAGTAATTCGCACAAGGGGTGGTGGGGGGGTGTCCAAGATGGAGACTATGTTTGGCATGAGGTCTGGAGAATTACCCGAGAATTGTATAAAATCACAAGCTCTGTGGGACAGCATTAATCTGACGCATAAGCTCTGCGCAAGCGAGGGGGAGGGGGTGGGGGCCCGGACATCCCAAACCTACCACATACAAACCTTGACATGCGCCTGGTGGTAATTCTAATCCATTTAATATATCGGTCTAGAGAGTTGATTATAGGCTTGTCATGTGAATAAATGTCTAAATAATAATTTATATGACAGTTAAGCCAGAAAGTAAGCTCTTACATATAATATTTACATTTCTGCAAAATATATTTTGTAAAACATAAGGCTGTATTATATACTTTAGTTAATAAAGATATGTTGGGGTTTTTTCTTTTAGTATTTAAAAAAAAATGTCATTAAATTAAATTCCTTTTTGATATTAGTTAATGTTATGTTCCGAATTATATATTTTACCGGACTCAATTTTATTTAGCAATCACTAAAACATACAATATAAATATATGTCATTAGATTGATTGAAATAAAGATGTTGGAAGAACTGACAGAATGTCCCCGCCTCTATTAGCCTAGTTGGAACAGAACAGTAGCACGTTAAACCCCATTTCATTTTCATTTCATAACAGAATGTTCGCCGGAGGCTTCTGCTACTTACAGAGCTACCATAAATAAGTTCTACAGTAAGATGTATAATGTCTCACTACCATGCCAATTTGTTTTCAGTACAAAAGTACTATTATTGTCTCCATTCCATATATCAAATCTTTCAAAGATTACTATATTAATTAATTAATGTATACGCTTAAATATAATTCAATTTTAGGCACATTTGATAAAATCAGTACAGTCATCATCTCTATCCTCGCAAAATTAAAACACCGTGCACAGTCATTCCATTTCAACACGTTTTCTAAAATGTCATACCGAGAATTTATTATGCCGGACTCTCCCGAAGACATGAAGATCATTTGGGTCATATAGGGGATGAATATTCAGATGCTATAATATGAAGATTTTGAAA